GCACTATGAGAGATCAAAACATTTCCATTCTCCTAACAGCCATGGAGTAAAAAATGTTTATACTGTTTCCACCTAACAATGTCAGTTTTTCCAAATGTCAAACGTAATCATGTTCCAAATCCATTCATACTGACAATTAGTGCAGGGCACACAATATCCTGATCTTACCACATGACACCATGGCTTACATTTGGTGGCATCTGCAGCATATTTATCTCACGTTACATTGGTCACTACACCCAGCTTGTTTGAGCACATCTGCATGGTCACTGGCAGTTACCCCTAGCAGAAGTTGAGGTCATGGCGGCCAACAAAACACAGCAACAGCACCCACCAAGTATGGCTGATGTGCGGATGGTACGGCTGCCTGGACTAGCTTGCCACCTCCCAGTGACCTGTGCAGGTCGGAGGGAAGCCAGCTCGGTCCTGGCCACCCATAATGCAGGGCCCAGACTGTATGTCCGGCATGGAGTGGAACACTGCCAACATGACCAGAACATTCAACAATTCCTGCCACAAAATACTCCACACTGCTTACCCCTATTAAGAGATGCAGGAGGAGGGAAAAAAGGAGCATATTCTACATGGTATGCACAAATGATGAATACGATCATTTGCTGAGCAAACTTTGCAGCATTACTCTGCACCCACTCCCCAAACATATGCCACTCCAGTATTACAAAGGTTTGTCCTCACAAAATTTGCTGGCATAGCTGCAAAGGGCTTTGTGTACAGGGAAATGTCAAAACATTGATGAGCAGACAATTATTTTGGCCAATTGCTACTGCCTGCTCCAGTTCAATGAGATTACGCAGTATGCATGATCTGGGACTTGTGCTAAATGTCACCATCATAAATCCCAGCACCAGCTTCCCACCGGGCCAAAAAAAGTGAACAACAGACTGCTTAAGTAAGCATATGGCCTTAGTCCATAAAATGGCAGCAAAGCATATGCAAAAATGGAAATTTAAGCATTTGTGACACAACTTTTGGTAAGCAATAGTTGCCACATATATTGGCATGTAATAAAAGCAGTAGGTACATGTAAAACCACAATTCTTTCCCAACACACATCTGTAATGAGTATGACCACTAAGCTGGTTTCAAAAACATCCAACATGTGGATAATAGAGGTCCTTTTCTCATAGTAATGCACTGATTTCCAATCTTAAAACCTGATGCAGGCATTGTTAATCATCCTGGTATTGGCCCATTCACAATCTGGCCCAGTGTAAAAATGGATCCCACACTGAATTAATGCGGCAGGCAGTAGGCACAGGAATGAGGGCCTTTGGGCTCAACTTTAGCTCTGAGTAGTTCACTTTGGCCGGGTTCAGCTTCAAGTCACGGCCAATTTGAGCCATTGCAAATTGTCCAATTTCAACAATAGGATATGAAAGCTGGAATTAACTACCTGACAAAATGATAACTTATTTTAACTTTTAGGTGCCAAAAACACTATTATTTTATCAGCATTTGCGGCTGCGGAAAAGCAACGTTCGCGCCATTAATGCCCCCAAGCATACAAAAGTACAGTACGCCCACTTCCGCACGTACTTTAGGAGCTCATGGCAGCTTGCCATGAAATTGAAATTACCTGCTTTGATTTCACCGCACAAAAGTGTAAAATTTTCCTTGATGCCCGGACGTACGACATTTTCCAGACCCCTCCCGACACCCACCGACCCCACCGCCTCTAAGCCGGACGAGCGCAAGGCCATATGCATGTGTGAAGCTCAGGAAACAATTTGTCTCCACTCCGCGCGAGCTACGTGACGTCACTGAGAATCACTTAGTCACTTGGCCGCTGAGCCCCTGGAAGGGCGTCCGAGATCGTAATTTTTTTAAGATGCATTAAAACGATAGCGAATCGTACGAAAACATTTAAACATATTTATGCCATACTACATGTAGCTAATCAAAGAGTGTTCTACGTTGTAATGTGTAATGAAGAGCAATCTAGCATGAGAAATAATCCTTTACTCTTTTCAGAAATTGTCTTGATCTTAACAGCATTAATAGATTGGCTATGAACTAATGAGTGACATGCCTATACTAATCACATTTTTTCCAACCCTGCCGTTGTGTAGATTTGTGTCGTATTCGTGGTTTGCAGTGGGACTAATTCTAGTAAAATTCTGCTGCAAAAATGCGACACGAAACTGCGAAGGCTATCAATCGAAGCGTCTCACCAAGGGAGACCAGCTTTCACAGGCGTGTTAACTGTGATTCTGCCGTGATCGATTCCCCTGTGACCAAATTTTGCCGACAGTGGAAAAGATCATCGCGTATGTCTGTCGATCTGTCCTCGAAACACCCCACCTTTCCATGAATACCGTCCAGTAGTTTTATAGACATGTAGGTAAAGTAGGTAGGCAGCAAACACATAATTTGTCCAGAATTTTCAGTTGGATAGTGTTATATTATATATATATATATATATATAGTCTCCCAAATGGGAAATTCTTGCTCCATACCGTGACCAGCTCGGACGTCTTGTACTGGTTTAAACAGGCGGGCGTGCGACCTCGCTGCTCTCGCCTATGTGCCACAGTGTCGCCAGCGCTGTGCTAGCGGCTGGAAGCGCGCGGGCGGGCCGGGGGCGCGGCGTGCAGACGGTCCGACGGTATTGTTTGTCTGGCTGACGGCTACTGCCGTTAGGCAGTCCAGAGGAGCCGCTCGAGGTCTTCCGTTTGTCCATTTGGTGGAGCCCGGAGTGAAACGTCTAGTCCAGGTCCCACGAAATTGAACGTCGCACTGTCTTGCCGCCATCCCAATCACCGTTCAGTGGAGCCGTATGTCTCTCTAACGTCCCTTTTGACCGTTTGCTAGAGTTGTCTGACTGCTAAAGCACATTGACTGCACATCATGTGGAAACACGCCTGATCCGTTTGGGTGAGCGCCCCACTGCCTCTCGAGGGCTGCGAGGCAGACTGTGTGCCCTGCCCGGGTCTCGGGTCGTACGTCTGCATGCGCGCTGGCAGCCCCAAAAACAAAAACCCCCCGACGCACGGCGTTGCAATCAACGCAGGCTGTTGCAGCTTCGACCCCGCGAGACTAGGCGTTAGCTAGGGTGGAAAAACTGATGACGCATGAAAGAGACCTTTGAATGCTTAACGACATCCCATCGAGCTTAGAGCGTATTAGCCAATACATACTAGGAAATCCGCCAAACTGGTGGGGCATCTGGTGTATAGAACTGGAAATGAACAGACGAATCTCTGGTGCTTATGTTGTACTTTGTACTTATGCTTCTGGGCGCTTAATGCTGCTTGAACCTTTGAAATACTTTCGAGCGAACTTTTGTTTAAAACGATCGCTCCAGCGCATAGTGCCTGACGCGGATGTTATCTGCAGCGGCCAACGTCGCTCGGTTTGACGGCAACTTCAACTTCTGTCATCGGTGTTCTTGCTCCCAAAATTGCTTACGCGCATGCGCGCACTTTTCATGCGATTTGTTGTATTAGTAGATTCGGCAAAAGTATGACGTCCTCAGGCTTAACATGGATTGTACTTTCCATTCCAGCCTTATTTTGATCTACTTTATCGAAAAACCAATGAGATACATTACGTTTCTACGGGAAAGGGGTCCCATGGGTAAAACACTAGGTACACATTATTATTTTCGGTAAGGGGATGACTGACCATTCCGTTCCTAACGCGTAGCACCTACCTGCTCTCATTCTCGGCATGCGATGGCGGCCCCCCAGGTCGATCCGCAGGTCCTTAATGCATGCGTCTTACATTGGTCCCCTTCCTGACGCTGGAGGCCCTCCATCGACGTAAAAAAGATCCTTTATCGCTGCAAGGGGCCCACTTGTAGACGTGGCCGAGTGACACGCGCAATGCTCTGCAAGATCTTGAATCACGACCGCCCGGCAGCAGGTCTAGGACGTGACTCTCTACTACCGTGTATGACGAGAAGGTAAACGTAAACACCAATACTGGGGCAAGAACTAGATGAAAACAATTCCGATGATGACAGGGATCCTTGTTACATTACAAATTAGTTCAAAGGAACCTAGTCGATTACGTAGCAAGACATTTACGTCAAGGAAACAGTTTGCGTGCAAATAAGTGTTTACAACAAGGAAACAGGTGACGTTTTAAATTGAGTGTTACAGCAAGGAACAACTTACGATTAGAATGAGTGTTACAAAGAAACAGTTTAAGTTTGAATCAAGTGCTACCACAAGGAAGCAGTTTGCGTTCAAATTAAGTGTAACGGCGACGGACCATCGCTATAACATAACACCAGACTACAACCGACGCCGCCGACAACCGACACACACATAAGGGCAACAACAATCGCTTTCCCGCAGTACCTCGCGACCCTTCACCAGCCGCCGTCGCGGCGGTCCAACAGCCACAGAGCAAGGCCGCGAACAGCACGGACGTGGACAGCAAGGCCGCGAACAGCACGGACGTGGACAGCAAGGCCGCGAACAGCACGGACGTGGACAGTGAGGCCTCGAATAGCGCGGACGTGGACAGTGAGGCCGCGAACAGCACGTCCGCGGACGGCACGGTCGCGGACAGCACGGCCGCGGACGGCACGGTCGCGGACAGCACTGCCGCGGACGGCACGGTCGCGGACAGCACGGCACCATCGGAGAAGGACCAGCCGCGGGACGAACACCATAAGCATAGCTGCTGCATCACAGCTGCGTAACAGACCGCACCACCAATCCACGTAACAGTCGTAAACCGAACAAAAGTGAACTGTGTCGAGGCAGGGCCAAAACTGGAACGAGGCTGAAGGAACTCTCCAGCGTACCGACGAAACCACCAGGCGCCTTGCAGATAGGTACTGATAACACTCGGCATACCCGAAACTTAACGTACAAAACACGTCTGTCTTGTGGAAAGGCTAATGACCAGGAACATGGAAGGATACGCAGCACGCACGGGCTTACGAATCTCATGTGAACGTTTATGTGCAGTACCCGGTAAGCAGGACAAATCTGTACGATTCGCGACACCGACCGGCCTGCTACAGCATTACTAGACACGGTAACATGCATCCTGACACACACACACTAGACAATGCACATCCAGGCAGCGCATCAAAACAGCCGTAAACCTCCCATCCTTCACTTCAACCGAACAAACACGCTGCACAAGGCCAACAACAGCACCGGCAAGGCCAACTCGTAGCGCCGACCGCGACGCTGCATTCCCCCTCATCTTCATTTGCATCACTTTTTCATCCCTCGACGTCCTTGAGGAGTTGGGTTATGTTTACTGTGCCCTAACTAGCTTGT